TTAAGGCTAAGTTAACTGAAACAGAAAAATACGTAAACCAAAATGCTTAAAACATTCTTGATATAAGCTCACAGGTAAGATTCTGAAATTTTATGAAAACAAGAAGTCAGTGAAATGATGGGGATTTTTGCTGGCTGGCAGCTTTGCACCTTAAGAAACTGCTCATGTCTCCTCTTCATCACCTTTGTATGTTATGAACAGAACTCTTTCTCAGTTTTAGAGGTCTTTATCTGGTTCCTTATTTATCCACACTTTTATATCTTGCAATTTTTGGCAAGGGTTTGACCAAACATATAACTCTAGAGTCTACATTAACGTAGTAACAGATTTAACATATACTTCCCAATTTCATTTGCCATATGCCTTAAATCAATAGCGAAATATAGGTAATCCCAAGTGGAAATCTATTTCTCAAAACAGAGATTTTGAAAAGATGGCATGACCTCTGGAGGAAAGGAGGAAAAAAACTGGACACTCAGTTTAGAGCCACCATGCAGAATTAAAGAGTAAAAGCAGCTGTTTGGAAACTAGGGAAACAGGGAGATAAGTTCAGTGAAAGACAGACAACATCAGACTGCATTGTCAGATGGGAATACGGATTCCCATATGGGTAGCTGCCAAGAGTCATACAGGCTGAGGACAGACCTTCAGGAAAGTGCACTGAGGGGATGTTCTCAGCAGGACTTGCTGCTACCGGGCAACCTGGGAGAGCTTTCTGCTTTGGCAATCAGGCACACCACCCCAGCAGGCAAAGGCACAGGCTCAGCCATTGTGCTATAACATCTTCAAAACAAATCAGCAAAGGATGGAGACAGAAGGTGACCTCAGTGATTATATGTAGCCTACACTGAGTGCCAAGGTTTTCCCAGGTGAACCAACAAAGCACTTTTGGTTTTATTATTTGTAGATAGATAGATAGATAATATATATAAGTGTATATATATACTTATAATAAGTAATATATATAAACTTATTATTTATATATATAAGTAATATATGTATTACTTATATCTGCTGTACGGACAACAATTATTTTATAATCCCCAGAAAATGAAGAACTGTATAGGTTAAATGCAAGAAGAATGGCTGGGAACAGCCACATTTCTTGGAGCTACTCATTCCTCTATGGATAAAATCATTTTGGAATTTAAGTGTGTGGGCTTTTTCCAGCACATTGAAAGATAAGACAGATGCTGGATAATGACTGAGCTGAGGCTAGACTCCAAAACATGATTGCGTGAATGATGGAAGCGATATAATGCAGAGGTATTACATGATTTATAGGTTGTGAAAAGAGAAGGGATTTTGTGGAGTTTTGTATATTTAGCTTTGTGTACAAAAAGAAAGGATTTATTTAACAGGTTGGTTGGTATAATTTAAATGGATGGTATTGTACCTTGAAAGTACTGTGTTATTCTTGTCTACTTAAACATATTGAAACTATGCTGTATTCCTTGTTACTCCCATCCTAGAGAGATGTTTTAGAAGCCTTGTATGTCCATTCTGCGTGCACAGCTCTCAAGCAGATTTTGCTGCTTTACTGCTAACAGTTAACCAAGTGCCACATTTCTTCACTAATAGTAGTAGCCACACTTTGACATACCTAATAGGAATCAGAAGACAAAAATCACATTCATAAGGAAAACTTAACAGTGTCTTTAAATAACAGTACTTGCCAAAAGAATAATAATAGAAGACATATAAGATAGAGGTCTAATGCAAACAAAAGAAAAATATAATCCTATTACAAAACAAGAATGTTTTGTATCAGTCTGGGCATTCATAATCTATGTTATAAGCATCTTAGGGAAGGACAGAGTCCTGAGTCAGTATTTCCCATGGGTTTTCTCTGCTGAAGTCCCTTAGAAATGTAATAAAAAAAAATCAGGGTGACTTATACCCCTCACTGGCATATGCTTCCATTTCTCCTTTTTTCTGCTTTTCCCTCTCTTCTTCTTTTTTTTTTTCTTTATTCTTTATGTGTGCTTTAAACTTCTCTCACACTCTCATTCCTCTTCCTCTATCTCCCTTGTACAGCTATTTTCTTGGTACCAATTTTCTTGTTCCCTTTCCCAATATACTTATTTTGTTACGTATATTCTGCTCTCCTATGTTTTTTCCAGAGATGTTGGAGATGTAGACACTCCTGATAAAACTCGGGGCTGAACTGCTTATTGCTAGGAACAGAGTAGAAAAAAGCTAAAAAGAAGAGGAACAGCTGCCTGAAATCTGTCTTTCACCCTTCCATATCAGCTGCTTCTGTGGGAATGTGCCCTGGGGCAAAGGGATGAGGAGAATTCACTGTGAGGGAGGGGAAGGATGTAAGAAGCCCACACTTACATCCAGATTTAGATCTAGGGGCTTTTCACGGATCTAAATTGTGAACTACCCATGAGTGGGCTCCTAGTCAAAAGAGGCAGTAGTTGCTCAGGTTGGGAATTTAGAGCATTTGGATCATTTTCCAGACACACCTCTCTCCAGGTTAATTATCTCACATTTTACACCCAGAGATGAAGATCACTTGATGCACTGAGATATTATCCAAGGATTTGGGGGATTGGATTAATAATTGCTCCATTTTGAATACCAGCTGCGATTCTTCCCAATTATGCTAAGAAATGTTAAGCCTTAAGAGAGCCTTAAAGAAACAAAACTCACCAAATTTGTAGGCGACTGTATAATTCAGAGGCTTTGACAGACACCAGTTGAATCTAGCTTTTGTGTGCAGCTCCCACGATCCAGGGTTAATCAGCCAGAACTCAGGCAGAGAATGAAGTAAGCCTTTAAAAAAACCCTACAAAGCAGAAATTACCAACCAACCAACCAACTTTTCTTTCAACTCTTCAGCTTATCAATATTTCTGAGGCTTTAAGAGTTACCCTGCTTTAGTAAAAATGTAAAGCTATTAATAGACATCTCCATAAGGAATTTCTTTGTATTGATTCAATTTCTTAATCCAATAGATTTACAAGAGTCTTCAGAAGAGCAGGTATACCTTGATCAATCTAAGACTTGTATTTTTTAAAACAGAAATGATGCAAAGTGGAAAATTAGACAAACATTTGTCCATTGAGGTAAATAAACAGCAGAAAAAAAATCAGTTCATATTTCATTGGTCTTTGAGGTCTTTGGAGAAGCCATCCCTACGTCCAGAGCCAAGCAGTGCAAATGTGAATGCTTATTTATGCAGGTAGTTGCTGATGTCAAAAACTGTCAGTGTCCTCAAGGTGGACCTCAGACCAGAGCATATTGCATCACTATCCACTGGCTGTTGACAGCTCTGGTGACATGATATAGCAATAGATGAAGAAAAATATTCAGTAGACGATCTACCTGTTTGCAGTAAAATGGTTAAGTTTTGTACTTTTGTCATGTGGTAATTTGATTGGAAATTAATCGGATTATTTTTGACTGGCTGTGGTTAGTGCTATTGCCTGTTTGGCTTTTATAAAAGTCTCCATAATTTAGGAATATTTATTTAAGTCACCATAAAAGTATAGAAATTGATGTAATAGAAATTGATAGTAAAATTACAGACAGCTGGGTACAGGATGAAATGAAACAAATTTACCCAAACCCATTATCTTAGGAAAACTTAAATGCCAAATTAAGTATCTTAGGCTAACAGTTTAAATGATCCAATTTAACACCAATAAAGGTACTTTAGACCCAAGTCCTGTTTGATTTATACTGTATGAGCATGCAGAGGAAAACATCTGCTGACAGTCTGGGCCAAACAGGGATACCAAGGGGACAAAGCAGCTTGGATCACTGCACCTTTCCATACCCGTTTCACATATTCTTAACTGTTCTTGATGGAAACTTCATGGGAGTAAATTACCAAGGCACAATTGATTTTTATCCTGGAAAATTGTGGAGGGACAACATTTATAATGGATAAGCATACATAAGGACAACTTTTTTTAATTTTTTTTAGGCTTTGTTGAACAAAGGAGCAGCACTGAGGCATTACATAACCCTGAGAGATTTTAGTTTCAGATGATGACAGCTATGGCAAACATGGGCCCTACTACCATCCACAAGGCAGTGCACAAGCAGCAGTAGGCTAGACTTCATGATTTCTTTCAACAGACCATTTTGTGTCTGAGATGCTGAAACTGGAAACATGAGAGCAGGGGAGGGGACACTGGAAAAGGTAACTTCGTCTGAATAGCATTAAAATGGAGTAAAGGTGGCAGTTCATCTGCATTAGGAAAGACAGCATTAGGCACACGCTCCTCTCTCCTTCTTTCAGGTGGTGGCCATGGGCAGGAGAGCAGCTGGGCTCTGCATGACCTCTGCAAGGTGCATCCAATTCATCATTCCTCTCCCAAAGAATTCACCCCAGGAGGAATAACTCTTTTACACAGCAAACAATTCAACCTGATATTTTATTTATTTATAGGTGTAAGCCAGTGTAAGACCTAGCACCTACAGTTGGAGACTCCTTGAGACAAGGATCAAGTCTCTTTTCTATTTCTCATTGCCTCTTTGGCCGCAAAGAAAATTTAACTACAGAAAAATCAATACAGATCTAAAAAACTTATTAATAAGAAGATGATATTTGGTTTTTCTTGTCTATGACTATTTTGATTGTCATTGTCTCATGGCTAGTATTGGCCTAATAAGTTTTAATATTTCTAATTAGTTTCTGTTATGCATGGAAAGCTAGAGGTTATTTTAACTTATGCATTTGTATAATCGCTTCATGGTCGCATCTCTGTATGAAAGTGATGATTCAGAAAATTTTTCTTCATAGCAAAGGTATTATTTAGAAGTAGATTTCATCAAAAAATGCCTATTTTTTTTTGTCCCTCGGTTTTCTTTGGATATTGGCTAATGCATTAAATGTAATGTGCATATGTTTTACATAGTGATGCCACTTTGTGAATTTTATTTAATGATTGTTTCAGAATATGTTTCTTCGATTCATATAAATCTTCCATGCTCACAAGCAGAACCGAAGAAAAGGAAGAAATTTTGTTTCAATGTTTAAAAGCTTTGTTTCACAAATTTACAGTATGTGGTTAGGAAACTAAAGTCAAAGAAATAAGAACAAAATTGTTATATGATAGACATCAAAAGATTTCAACAATTGTTCTGAAAAGCAAAATAACTGAGTATGACTGTAACCCATAAAGAATGATGATGCTGTGACTTTCACGCAAGGCACAGTTCCCAAAGGTCCTTGACTCTTCTTGCCATATGTAGATATTTTATACCTTTTCCCCTGTATTCATGAGGTTTGAGGACTTTCCTGACAAGTGTCAAGCTGGAAGAGCATATCCTTCTCTTCCTGTGGGAATTCAGGCAGTGGGGAGAATAAAGATTAAGCCAGGAAAGTTCACATCAGGAAGGGAGACACTCATTAAACACAAATAAACAGGACCTGGCAGATAGAAAAAGCCCCCCTTGACCAGAAGAAAGGATAATGGAAAGGGCAGATACTTAAGTGCAAAGCCAGGAATGATGTGGGGCACTTACGTTTGCTTTAAACTGAAAGGTGTGCTTCAGCTGGGCACCACAGGACCAGACTAGAACTTACCCAAAGCAAAATCTCCTAAAACATGTAGTGTCTGGATGTCATCCAGCAGCTGTACACCAACTGCTGTCCTTTGCAGATTTGGTCCTTTGAGCTGTACTCATTTGCTAAGGTCAGAATAGTCTATGAGACCAGGACTTCTTGGGATACAGGCCTGGAAGAAGACCAAAAGTCGGCAGGCTGGAACTTAGCTGACTAAGATACCTCGAAGGGTAATGCCTGGTGAAGCATCAAAATAACTACACGGAGGCTTGATCCCTCTTCAGTCAGGGGAAATAAATAAGATATGCTAGAGGAACTAGAGTGAAAAGAAAGAGTTGATGACCTGGCAGAAAGGGGAAGAGGGAACTGGAGGGGAAGGGTGAAACTAAAGAGGACTCACAGATATTATAGCTTGAAACTGTGCATATGCTTTATGTCATAACAAGAGTTTTACCAAACATTTGCTTTGATGGGAAAGCAAGATAATGTCTCTCCAAAAGCTCTTGCCGTGTAATGAGATTTGTTTAAAGTGTTTTTGAAATAATGCTGAAAATGCTTTATGTTTCACTGCTACCAAATTAAAGCTTAGGGAGTTAGACTCGCAGCCTATTAAACTTCTGTTTAGCATGCACATTTTAACACAGATGTTTCAATAAAAGGGGTTTCCATGTAATTATCTAATGACTTGCTATGTCAGTCATGATAAGTCCCAGGTTTGTAACTTGCTCCTGAGAATTAAACAGAAAATAAATATACCAGTTCTTACCTGATGCCCTTCCCATTTGAGATGAAAGCAGTAAATAGTCTCATGGATGTATCTGATTTGATTTTCATTGATGAAAAAGTAAATCCTATGAGAGACAAAACTAGGCAAAAACATGTGCTATTTTATTTTCATTCAGTCAATTTTATACCATGCTGGATGAGAATAGACTGACACATTTTCAATTTAACTGCATTCCTCAGTTTCTCCACTCCCAATATTTTCATCCAAAGAGATAAAAATGGTTGCAGAACTGTAGGTGTGGGCATTTCATGCCTGAACATTACTTGACTGAGCAACAGGATAATGGGATACTTTCCCCATGTCAAATCTCAGTATGAACAAATGCTCCCAAGGAAACCAAGATGCTTACAAGAATCAGCTGAGAAGAAATAAAGCAAGTCAGGTAGCACCCAACCAGAGACATACAAGAGGAGCAAACAGCAGTGTTTGAGAGACGTAACTTAACCAGGAGACAAGCTAAAGTTTCAGGAAGCTGCATTGGGATAAACTGAGACTGAGGAGTAAATTCTTCTGTCTTCAGCATTCAGTAATGTGCATGAGATGTTGAAGAGCTACTTTGGCCATCGTCTTCACTTGTGATGCCAGGATAACCCTAAATTCAGGCCATTACCTCCTGCAAAAAGGCAAGCTCACCCTGTCTGGCCCAGGAAGACTGTGACTGTGTTCCAGTCTGCAGAGCGATGCTGCTAGCTGATTAACCGATGGGCAGGGAAGGGGGATTTGGCATACATCAGGACCACAAGGAGTAATACCCCTGTGGTTTACTGTTTGACGACAGCTCCATCACATCCCATCAGTCTGTTATCGCCTAGAGGTGCCAATGTAACTAAGGCAGCAAAAAAGTATGGCCTGTTTCCTACATAAGTCTCTGCTTCCCCCATCATCTCTATTACTGCTGGTGGTAGCACAAAGGCTCTTTCCTCCCAGTGAGAAAAGATTTTTCTAAGCAAACAAGGTATTTTCTGAAAAGTTTGTAAAAATCAAGAGTTCTGCTTACAAGAGCAATTGAATTCTTTCACTGTTCCCATGATCAATCCTTACAGACTCCCAAATAGGCAGATTTATAGCAAAGACTGGAAAACAATTTACACATACAGATTTCTGTTCAAAGCTTTATTCATGTACTTTCACGACAGCAATCAGGGACTCGTTTTCACTCTCTCCCCTTTTGCCATACAGATATGACTCTGTACCTCATAGTCATTGCTATTGCTACTTGAGACCTTGCACAGTTCTCAGCTGCATGCCTAGGGCAAGCTTAGAAATAAAAGCTGCTGGTTTTCTGAACAACAGTCAGTGAGGCTTTCCTCCTCCAAGGGGGAGGATTCCTCATGGTAGACCCTCACTGCAGGATGCCTGGGAAAGTCTCTGTTTAAATTGAAACCCAGGCTTAATTACTATTGTGTTGCAATACTGAAACATACATATAAAACCAAAGAACAGATGAAGTATCTTAACAAACAAAAAGAATATTAAGTGGAAATTACTAAAAATATGAAGGTAATATTTATGTGATGCATCATCCAAAAATTGTATGAATACTGTGCCAACAGAACCTTAGCAAAATTAAAGAAAAAAAACCCCAACAAACCCCCCCAAAACAAAAAAAAAACCACAACCCCACACAAAAACCCCCCAATATTTGCATTTCCTTACCAAATACTTTACAGTTATCAGGATTTTTTTGCTTTTCATAAAAAACACATTAAAAGAAGAGCTCATTGTCATTGTGCTGTTGCAATATTCACACTAACAAGACTGTCGATTGTTTCAAAGAACTGCTTCTTTGAAGGAAGCTACAGTAAATTGTTTAGGGAATTCACCATTCAGCAGTTCCCTCAAGTGCTGCATCCATCTTTCACTGATTAATAATGAAGCATTAATGAAAATGTTTCTATGTCTCCATGCGCCCACCAATTGAATGTGGTGCAGAAAAAATACAGCCTTTGGAAATTGTTATTTGTCTCACTTGCCAGACAAGCAGTAGAGAAATTCCTTACTGGGAATATTGGTAAAACAAGACCTTCATTTAGGGGATTCAGACTCTTAAGGATGATTCTCAAACTGACATTTAAGAATAACTGATTCTCAAATACCACATTAGCAATCAAGAAATCAAGAAATATAATTAGCTCAGCATGCTCTGCTTGAAACTAGTACTGTAGCTATCAGCTGCACCAAATGCCAGAAGAGGAGAAATGGAGCATTTGTTTTTCATTGAAATAAATAATATTTCATTTTATTAAAGGCATGAGAGCTTGAAACATTAATAATTCTGAGAAACTGCTGGAGCTAGCTTAGATCAGGGTGGATTTTTCTCCATTATCCGAGCAAATTCTGGGAAAGCAATCTGCCTTTTGTTTTGTTTGGTCTGTACTAAACTCATTGCCATGACATCATGCAAGACAACCCGGCAGAATGTATGGTAGGTTATTAATATGTTTTCATTCCTTTTATGTACAGAAGTTACTGAGATCATGGTTTATATGTAATTGCATAATGCATTATTTGAATTGACCTTCTTATTCCAGAATTAAGTGCCAGGATGTCAAGCAAACAGACCATGAAAGCCAGTACTTCTGGACACAGATGGTAAAGCTTATGTGTAGCGAGAGAGGAGTAATTGGATGCAAGGTAGTAAACATTTACTCAAATCCAGTCAACATTGGTAGTGCTTTAATTTAGCAGCTGCTTTGAAACTTATTTGAGTATACAGTGGTCTCAGATCACTGCAGAGTTGAAAGCTGCCGCCCTTCCTGGATTTCTTAGCAAAGAAGATATGGATTAAATCCTAAATGTGTTTGGGAATTGAAAGATACTATATACTCGAAACTGATTGCTCCAGTATATAATGTAGGACAACAACTAGCTTCTACTATACCTCTTCTGCAAGTGAAAAAGGGCCTTAAGTTCTTAACTGTCTACCACTTCAGCACTTTCCGCAAGTATCTTTAGTGTATTTGAATTTATAGAGAGAGATGAAGCACAAAATCACACTTCCTTAATTTGCTCAGTGCCAACACCACACTTTTTCCCAGTACAAAATAAAAGGAAGTGACACCTTTCATGACCTTGGACCTCCCCATCACTAAAGGCTCTGTCCCTGCAAAAATCAAAATGTTCTGTTACCCTGGGGAAGCAAGTCACTGATCTGTTGCTGATAAAGCCTTACCTCAGTCGACAGGCACTTAAAGCCACTGGTAGTGTGAGAAGTCTGTTGACTGATAAAGAATTCATAGGACCAGAGACTGACAAGTTTTCTAGAATAGGCAAGAAGAAGTTTGAAATGTTCTGGATTGGAGAAGAGCAACATGAAAAGTAAATGTGTGTTTCATGAGGAGGAGGAGAGCAGGGAGAGGCGTTACAGGGTCATAATGCTCTTAAACTGTGAGCCAGTATTCCTAGGTTCCATGGTCAGATAAATAGCAATGTATCAATTTAAAAATGCTGCTCTGAAATGTCACCTTCATCTCCATTGATCTCTATTACCAAACAAGTACTTCACTGTCACTTGTGACAAAAGGCATTAGTCAATACAAAGCTCCAAATAAACTTGAAGAAGACAAGCAAACTCTTCTCCCTTAGCTGCACACAACAACAATATAAAAAAAGCATGAAAAAGCAGGGCACCAAAAAAGACTTCTAAGACTGAAAGTAAAAATTTAAATATTCTATTCTACACCTGTCAGGATTATAAAAAATACTATGGGTGTGGGTGGGGTTTTTCATCTTCTGGAAAGGATTTTTTGTCTGGATGAGGAAATAGCCCAGTAAAACATTTTAAGCATGTTTACTTTGATTCCAACATTACACTGGGGTAACTGCTATCTACAAATCTACTGCAAAGCTGAAATTTAACCAAGATGTTCCAAGGCTTAAGTTACATTTGAACCACTGAACCATCTTAAATGAAACACTGAGAAAGAATTGGTAGCTGGGAGACAGCAACCATACAGACTATTTCAGCAGCCTTTCAGACATCACAGCCTCTATCGCTTCTTATGGAAATGTTCAAACACAACATGCCCTGGCATCTCTCTGGCTGCATGACCAACTATTCACCTAGAATGTAACTAGAATGTGTTCCTCTCTATAATTACAGGCATACTCTGGATGACATTTTACAACAGGCAGGTCTGAGGCATATGCCTCAAATTGTATGTGATCTCCCATTTCAAACCCAGGCATGCATTCATGTTTTGTACGACAGATAAAACTTGTATTTTGGGTGAAGCCAGGCCAAAGACTTGCTCACAGATCACACGCTGGAGCTCTGAGCTTGGGAAATGTATCTCTAATGTTTAAGCACAGCTGATGATGATTGGTGGGAGAGGGCATTGTTTATATTTACCCCATGGCTGTTTGGCAAGGTTAGTGCTCACTTTTCCATCCCAATAGCCTATTGTGATATTTTTTCTTTGAGCAACAGACTTTGTGTTCATGCTTGAGATAGATACACAGTGTTGTTACATGTACATAGTGTTCATTCCAAAAAACCTGTTAGTAAAACCAAAGTGAGTCAGTCGCAGTGTGCAAGCACTTTTCACCATTTGCCTGCAGTCAGCCTCTCCCAGACTGTTTCTCTGGGCACATTAGCTGTGGAGGATTACCTCCCTGACTTTTTGCAGACCACAACACCATTGTGGAGGCATATAAAGTGAAAAACCTGGTTGCAGGAATTGTTATGATCAGTTTGGGAATGTACAGCCACACAGGAAAAAGAGCAGTTTTGAAGGCATTCTTGTCATCACTCAATATCTATGTGAGGAGCTGAGAATTGTAGCACTGCTGCAACCGCTAACATATCCATGAACTGCCATCGCATCTGCTTGTCAGGGCTTGGGTATTTCAGAAGCTGCCACCTAAGAGGACTCTTCAGGGAAGTGATGTTTTTCTGTTCTTTCCTTAAATCTTGAACTGAAAGCAAACGGTAGCTGTAAATCCTCCTGATGGTTGCCCACTCAGAGGGGCATCTCCATAGCAGTGTAGGCTGAGACACAGTCTGAAGCAATCCTTTCTGTAACACAGCCTCAAGACTGCTTTTCTCTAATG